GTTATGTATAACAGAGAAATTCACTGGTATTTTAACAACTATTACAGTACTTTTTAAAAACATTAACTGTCAAGGAACTACAGAAGAAAGAACAAACTAAGTACAATTGTAGGACAGAAATAATGAAAGCGAATCAACAACAGAAAATAATAAAATTAAGGTTATTTTTTGGAAACAGTTAACAAAATTAATAGTCTTAGCTAGAATAATGAAAATAGAAAGTTCAAATAATAAAAATCAGAAATAGAAGAGGAGGCATTATAATCAAAACCATGGGGAGAAAATGGATCATGACAGAGTATCATGAAAAACTGGATGACAATAATAAAAGGATAGAATAAAAGAAATGGATAATTTCCCAGAAATACACAATCTATCAAGACTGCAAAAGAAGATGTAAAAAGCTTGAAGAGACATACAATGAATGTAGAGACTAAATAGTAATTGAAAATTTCTCAGTAAGAAAAACCGCATGGTGGCACATGCCTATAATCCCAGCACTTGGGAGGCTGAGGCAGGAGGATTGTTTTGAGTTTGGGGCCAGCCTGGACTACACAGTGAGATCAAGGTCAGCCCAAACTATAGAGTAAGACTGTCTCAAAAAACATACATACATAAACAGAAAAACCTTAGACTTGGTATTTTCATGGGTGAATTTTATCAAACACTTAAAGCAGAACTATTATCAATCCTTCAAACTTTCCAAAAAATAAAGAGGGGTCACTTCCTAACTCATTCTATAGAACATTGCCCTAACACCGAAGGCACTATCAGAAAGCTATAGATCAGTATCCTGTATAAACACTGATACAAAAAGTCCCCAAATATATTACCAAATTGAAATAATTAGCATTAAAAGGATTACACATCGTGACCAAGTATTCTTGGGATGTTTCAACATACATCATTTGAGCCTTGCATAGCTAAGGCAGGAGGATTGTAAGTTTAAGCCCAGCTTGGGCAGCACAATGAAATCCTGTCTCAAAATTAAAGAACAAAAAGAAAAGAAAGAGGAAGTTGGGGAAGTAGCCCAATGTGAAAGCCATGGACTAAATACCAAGGCCCTTGACTCAAAACCCAGTACCACAAAAAATGAAAAGAAACAAAACAAAATAACCATTAGACTGATTAATGTGATACATAAACTAACAGAATGTAGGAAAATAACCATAATCACATGATCATCTCAACTAATGCAAAAAAGCATCTGACAAAACTAAGCACACTTTCATGATAATACATTCAGTAAATTAAGAGTAAAGAAAATATCTCAACATAATAAAAGTCATATACAAAAAGCCCATAGGAAATATAGTCTTAATGAAAAACTTAAAGCTTTCCCTTCAAAACTGGAAACAAGACAATCATGCCTACAAGACAATCATGCCTATTCAACAGAATACTGGACATTCTAGACAGAGGAAATAGGCAAGAAAAAGAAATTAAACACCCAATGGGAAAGGAAGACATAAAACTATCTGAAGATGATTTTTTCTGTAGAAAATCTTAAAGATTTTATACACACACACTTGAAATATCCCTTAAAAATACTTCAAATAAATGAATTTAGCAAAACTACAGACAAAAATCAACATATACACAAATAGTTGCATTTTTATGTTAACGATAACAACCTAAAAAGATACAGAAACCAATTCTTTTACAATAAAAGAGAAAAAATTTGTAGAAAAAAATAACCAAAGTAACAGAATTGTATAATGAGAACTTAGCAATACTGCTGAAAGAAATTAAAAGACAACAGAAGGAATGATATCAAATATGTTCATGGACTGGAAGAGTTACCATTTTTAAAATCCAACACAAAACTTTTTATAGATTCAATACAACCTCTATCAAAATTCCAATAGGATTTTTGCAAAAACAGAAAAATGTATCCTAAAATTCATGCCAAATTTCAAAAGGCATCAAAACAGACGTAGGCTAGGCATGGTAATACAGTCCTGTATCTCAGTGCTTGAGAGGCTAGGGATTGAGTGCAAGTTTGAAGTCAGCTTGTAGGCTACACAATAAATCGAAGACCCTGTTTCACAAGGAAACAAAACAAAAAACAGGGTAGTCTTCAAAAAGAACGATGTTGCAAGACTCATACTTCCTGGTTTCAAAACTTACTGTAGCCAAGCATCACTTAATAACTGGAATGAACTCTGAGAAAACATCATGAGTTAATTTTGTCATAAGAACATCATAAAATCAACTTATACAAAGATGCCTACAATATCACTAAGCAATATGATGTTAGGGAACATCACTGCATCTACAATCTGTCAGTTACTGAAACATGGGGTATAGCACTGTATAAAGCTACAGTAAAAATGTGTGATACACATAAATTAATGGAATAGATAGATTTCAAAAATAAACTCTTGGGTACATGGTCACATGACTTTTTTCTTTTGAGACAGGGTCTCACTAAGTTGCTAAATTGCCTAAGTGTGGCTGGAACTTGTGATCCCCTTGTCTCAGCCTCTCAGGCATTACAGTCATGTACCATCACACCCACCTTCAAATGATTTAAGGGTATCCAGATCTTTCAATGAAGAAAGGAGGTCTTTTCAACACATGATCTGGGAAAGTTGAATATCTACATGTAAAGAAGAAAGCTAGACACTTTCTTTATACCAAATGGGAAAGTTAACTGAAGCCGGGTGTGGCAGAGCACGCCTATAATCTCAGCATGCTGGAAAGCTGAGGCAGGAGGAAGGCAAATTCAAGCTCAGCCTGAACAATTTAGGAAGGCCCAGCTCAAAATAATAAAAAGGGCTGGGGATGTTGCTCTGTGTGAAAGACCTGGGATACATCCTCAATAGGGGGGAGGGGCAGTTAATTCAAATGGGCTTGACAGGAAGCCTGAAATTCAAGCACTTGAAAGGTTGAGGCAGAAGGATCTATGAGTTTGAAGCTATCCTGGGCTACAAAAATAAGTTCAAGCCCAGACTGTAGCACATAGTGAGAACTTGTCTCAAAAACAAAAACCAAAAATCGCAAACCAAACCAAAAAAAGGGGCAGGAGAAAAAAGGGCTAAAAACGGACCGAAATTCTACATTTAAGCACTAAAACTGTAAAATACAGAGTTGAAATTTCATGGCACTAGATTTGGCTCTCATTTTTTTTTTTTTTTTCCTTTTTTGTCTTCATGAAAGTGAAAACCTTTGGGCATCAAAAAAACATAAAACAGAGTGAACAGGCAACATGCAGAAAGTAGGAAAATATTTCCAAGTCATATATCTGACAAGAGATCAAATCCAGACTACACAGAGAACTCCTAAACTAAAAAAAGAAACAAACCCTCAAAACTTCAAAAATAGGCAAAGAACTTGGACATTTCCCAAAAATGATGTACAAATGAGTGTGAAAAAAGTACTCAAAATCATCAGTAGTTACTGAAATGCTAATCAAAACACAATGGTATACTATCGTCCATCCTTTAAGAGGGCTACTATAGAAAATAAGGAAGAAAGGAAAGAGGGAGGAAAGGAGGACAAAAGGATAGTAGGTATAGACTGGGTTTCTTTCTTCTTTTGGATCTTTTAGGGACAGGGTCTCATTATACATTCAGGCTGGCCTTGAGCTCACTTTGTAGCCCAGGCTGTCTCAAACTTGCAATGATCCTCCTGCCTCATCCTCCCAAGTACTGGGATTATATGCATGAGCCACCATCCTCAGCTTTTGTTCTTTTTTGAGACAGCATCTCTCTATGTAGTTATAGTTCAGGTTGGCTCTAAACTCACTATGTAGCCCAGGCTGCACTCAAACTCATGATGATCCTCCTGCCTGTGTCTCCCAAATGCTAAGTAGGAATGCCAGGCAGCAAGGATAGATTCTAAAAATACACTGCTAGAACATTCATTATAGGCAAGAATGTTAAGAAATTAAAACTTTTATTGCACTGTTGGTGGGAATGTAAAATAGTATTGCTATTATTTACCACAACATGTTACATGCTTAAAAACTAGAAGAATTAAAAATTATTCAGCAATCCCATTTCTAGGTATTTATTCAAAGAGATAATAATAGGATCTTAGAGATATATCTGCACACCTATATTCACTTCAGCATTATTTACAAAAGCTACAAGGTGGAAGCCACACTAGGTTACTGATAGACTAATGGATAAACAAAATGTGATATACACATACAATGGAAAGAAATCCTATTGTACACTACAATACGGATGAATAATCTTGAGGGCAGTATGCTAAGTGAAATGACTAAGTCTCCTGGTTTATCTGCGCATGCCACTTAAAGTCTTTTGTGTGCATAGGTAGAACTTTTGAGAGGTGCTGGAACATAGGGGTATGAATTAGTAAGTGAAGAATTTATAGCTAAACATAATTTGGGAGGTGAAGCTTGGTTGGAGGAAGTGGGTCCCTAGGGTCATGGCCTGGAAGGATCTATCTCCTTCCTAACTCTTTTGATCTCTCTCGCTTTCTGCCTGCCATGCAGAAGCTATTTGTCCCCTGCCATGCCACCCTGCCTGGGACCCAACTATGGACTCAGATCTGTACAAAATAAGCCAAAATAAATCTTTCTTCCTTCAAGCTGTGGGTATCAGGTATTGCAGCTCACTGATAAGCAAGTACTAAGACAGTTATAAAAGACAAATACTGTATACCTCTATTTATATGCAGTATCAAAAGCAGTCAAATTCATAGACCAAAAACAGAATGGTACTTGCCAGGGGCCAGAAAGATGGAAAAATGGGAACTTGTTTAATGTTTAATAGGAACATTCTGCAGGCTGTTGCACAACATGTTACTACACCTAACACTTATTGAACTGTATATTCAAAAATGGTTAAAACTATAAATCTTATGTTTATCATTTTTTAAGTATTAAATTTTCTTTAAAAAAGCTTTACTGTATCTTCACAACTAAGAATAAAGTTGGATCTCAGTATCCTAAAGCCATTTCTTCCAAACTCTTTAAACAGAAATCCTGGACAAGATTCTCCCGCTGTATTGATGTATTTCTAACTCACCTTCGCTTTGGTGCCCTAATGAAGAGTTCACAAAGAAGTCTGCCCTGTTCATCCTTATAGTCTCGGATAGTATTGTAGAGTTCATGGCACACAGCAATCTGTACATAGAAAGAAAAATCACCAGAAAAGTAAACAGAAAGCCAATGTGAACATAAGGATTAAAGACTACTCTAAAAAGAAAATGAAACTTTTTGACCCACAAAAGGCAAATAGAAAAGAGAAAATCCTCCAATTGCCAGATGAGAATTCAAGTTTGAAGAATGCTGCAACTCTCCTTCAAAATAATCTAATGAAGTCTTAGGTATCTTTCATCAGATTTATACTACTGGTGATTTTTTTTTTTCCTGTTCACAATTCTTTTGCTTAAAATCATCCAATAAAGAGGTTTTCATTACAGCAAAAATAAAATCTAAACTTCCACTACTGCCTAAAAGGCCTTATATACTCTGGCTGGGTGAAACTCACTAGTCTCCTCCTTCCTGACAATTTTTCTGTAATTACAATATACCAACCCATCCCTGATCCATGGATGATTGTTTTTATACAGAATCTTCCAGAAGATTCAGGCCAAAATGGCCTAAATCATCCAAACTTTTCTTATTATCACTAGCTTCCCTCACCTTGAACTCTAAGCTTCATATGAAAAATGGGCTTGCCTCACATGTACCTATATCCCAATCACCAGCATAGTGCTTATCACATGACAGGCATACAATTAATTGTTAAATGAACATGTGTCATAAAATACTGATATTCTTTATTGCATTATTAAATTATACTATTACTATAGGACTTTCAGCTAAATATATACTTTTCATTAAAAAAAGAAGAAAAAGAAGTAAAGACACCCTGTATCTCAAATACTTCACCATAAAAGGAGGGAAAGGCAGGGAAATCATGAGAAAAGCAGTCAGAAACTGTGCCACTCACAGGATCTACTGTTGGAAGATTGGACAGTCTCCTCCTTTTCCTGCTTGGGCCTGGTGTGGGTACAGAATGGTGTCCATCATCAAAGTCCCCACTGACACTGCTAGAAGGAGAAGTAGCTCTTCTTCTCTTGGAACCCATGGAATCCAATTTCTTCTATAAAAAATAATTAGCCACACTGTTATATTTAAATTCCAACTCTGCCACCAAGCCTCCAATTGGTTACCTGACACCAAACTAGGTCACTAACTGTTGCAAAAAAGTAAAACTGGCAGTAAGTTTTTTTACTTTCAACTTTGACAACTCAACTACTTTGGGCCCCAAAGTTACCCTGGACTGACATTTCCTAAACCATGTGTGGTGAGTGAGTGGTACAACAGTGCCCTGGAGGTACTGATTCCTAAGCCCCTGAGGTCTCCAGGCAGCCCTCTGAGACACAGGCTCTAAAATAGCAGCTGTTAATGTCAGCAGCTTCATCTGCTTTTCTGTGAGCTTTATTATTACGATCATTTTCCAAGTGGGCCATGATGTAGAAAACACCAGGAAGCAAGCCTAAGGCAAATTAAGTGTGTACGTGGGGTAGAGGTACTGTAGAAAGTTACCTTTCTAGCACTTTGGATTCACCTTGAAAATGAAGTTTCCACACTCATTAAAGCAGGATTCACAAGCTATGCCCCTAAAAATACTTAATCATGATTTCTCTTATGTAGGCAAAAATAGCAAAATGGTGCTTTGAAACTTCTATTAATTCATACTATCTCCTTTTCACACATATGATATACTCTATACCAACAAATTTTGAAATTATAACTTTAAGTGACTACATCAGGGACAGCGAACCTTTTAGAGTGTTCAATGATTCAAACAGCCTGTTGGCTAGAGGATCAGTGAGAATACCTCATAGGTAGGCTTTTAGGTTCTGTTTGGGTGTTCAGAAACACAAAAAAACTGTCATTGTTTTGTTTTGCAGCAGTTTTAGATTGGATGCTAAGAAAATAATCTTAGCACAATTTTACAAATACATATATGTGACTATAACATAAAAAATAGAGAAGCACTGAAAGAATCTGCTATGGTTACAGAGAAATGGTATATACTCAAAAAGTCTACAACTAAGGCTTATCCAATATAATAATAGTATCAACATAATACCAAATGGTACATTGCAATCTCAAAAGTCTTTTTCTAAAACTAGAAGAAAAAAGCAGATTCCAGTTTCAGTCACAACATTCATTTTCAGGCAACTAAAAATTAGTAGGAACAGTACAACAGTAGTTGCCAGTAGTGCCAGAAGAAAAGTTGGGGATTGTGAGGAAACAGAAAACAGAAGCAAATTACACAAAAAATTGTGGTAAGCAACTAAGAAATAAAAGGAATCTCATACATCTTCCCCCAAAATAAAGTCCACATGGAGTTTAAGACAATCTACCATGATGATGTTCTTCAGACTTTGACTTACTTGTAAGTATGTTAGTTTAAAGTTGGCTAAAAAACTTCTAAAAGCTTGAAATAAGGACACCCAATTTTTGTCAGTATTCACTTAACAAACTGGCCAAAATTCAAGTAAAAGGACGTAAGGACCAATCCTTTGTAAACAAGCTATGACAAGCTCACAGGTGAATTTGATGAACACAGGAAGGACCTTTTATGGAGAGGATAATAAAAATTTAAAAAAGATGGGAAGGAAAAGGTAAGGAACGACAGAAAAGGGAAAGGGTGTAGATAATCAGTAATTTACCAGCTTTACCAGAGCACAACCAGCGCCTCGAAAAGCCAGTCTCCTCATTATGTCTGAAGGCCAACTGAAGCCAGTAAGAAGGCAGGACTTTAGAAGTGCTGATTCAATGTTAGTATATTCAAAACTGAAAGAGAAGGCAGAGAAAAGGGAAATCGAAAAGAGTCAGAAGGAGCAAAAATGAGTATGGATAGAAAAAATTCAAATAAAACTGCTAAGAAAGACAAAACTATAGAAAACAGGAATATCAATTCTCTTGTACCTATAAACTGCTGCAGAGGCTCAGGCACTAACACTTCCTGATTGTTCCTTCACTTTATTTATTTTTGTGACACAGTCTCACTATGTAGTTCAAGCTAGCCTCAAACTTGTGGAAAACATGCTACCTCAGCTTCCTGAGTGCAGGAATTACAAGCATGTGCCATCAAACAAGGTCATTCCTCCATTTTAAAACCGAATACTTTCATATGCTTAAAGTTGTCACACTAAGGTTCCCCTTTACTCACATGGAATGACTGTCAATTCCAGGAATGGAGCATGCCTGCTCAAATGCCTCCTAGTCAATAAGAGCAGAGGTCAATCACAGAGCTGAAAAGGAGAGTGAACACATGTGTGAGGCTCACATGTGACACCACGAGTTAGCAAAGCTGGAACAAACCAAGAATGGCTCATGTGAGCCACATCTGGAAAACCCTTTCCCTCTCAAAATTCAGAAAAAGACACTTCTTCCTTATTTGCATTGGGAAGACATCACATATAAATTTAGTAAGGTTTCTTTAAAAAGTCTTCAACTATTTTGGCAGTTAAAAATTATTTTTATAAATAATCCAATAAATATCAAATAACAAAACATGTAAGTATGTTGTTTAGATGACATAACACCCAAAACTTCTGGAAGCATTTAATTTACCTTGGTAAAACAAGAAAAAGATGCAATATAATCACCAAAAATTTTGAACCCAAAAAATACATTTTAACATGTAATCTGGAAGTCTTGCCACAAAGGCAATGTGCTGAGCTGAAAAGCAACAGGACATACATTCAGATTAGGAGCTCCAGACCTTCCATCTTTCCCTGATCCTGCTTGAGTTATACCCTCTAGGATCTGTTTCATTTTTATACTGAGAACAAGAAAGTGTACACGTATCATTTTGGATTGCTGTTACAGTGAAAGGAGACAGAAATCACTTTGAAACTTCAAAACAGGACTCTAGGACCATGTTTCCTGCGACAAGAACAGCCTTCACTTTTTGTAGCCTTGCCTTATAGAACAGTGTTGAATACACAATTTACCTTTTTAATAAACATTCTAAAAGTGCGCTTCAATGAGACCTTTAAAAAAAATGTCAATGTATGTAGTTTAAAAAGGCATCCCTTCAAGTAATCCGTTTTTCACGAAGAGGAAAAGAAATAGCCTAGCTCTGTGGCATGTACCTGTCATCCCAGCACTCTGAGAGGCTGAGACAGGTGGAGTGCAAATCTGAGCCTGGCCTGGGCATCTTTAGACTTTGTCTCAAAAAAATAAAACAAAGGGGCTGGGGATTTAGCTCAGCGGCATAAGCGCCTTTGCAAGCACGTAGTCAAGAGTTCGATCCCCAGTGATATACCTCAACGTGAAGATTCTGGGTTCAATCACCATGTTGGGGGTAGGAGTGGGGAGGAGAAAGGAAAGAAATAGATTTTGTAGTTCAACTCCAGCTGTAAGCCACAAGTCCAAAAGCCTGATAACCAACAATTGACAAGAAGCAATACAGAATACATAATGTGTAACTAGAATACTGACTCATACCCATTCTATTTTGATGATATATAAACTTTTAGTATTATTCTGTGTTTCCAAGAATATTCATACTGTAACACATGGATAAAAGTCTTGGAAAACAAGATTCAAAGGTAAAATAAATAAATAGAAAAATATTTATACAATAATCCTATTTCTCAGAGAAAAATCATCCTTTATCATGTAGGTTGTTTTTCATATTTATGCCTTAGTTACCTACTTTCTTAAGTAAATGTGAACAAATCATATATACTATTTGGTAGCCTATGTTTTAACTAAGAGAAAATTCTTCCAAGTTAACGTTCTTCCTCATGCTTAATGGTCTGATAGCACTTAATCATATACACAAATATACCACAATTTACATTGGATGTTTCAGTAAAGAATTATTAATAAAGGTATTTTGTATACTCTTAAATCCCAAGAAAGTTACCAAGGCCCTTCCATTGACCCACACACATATTTGCTACAGTTTTAACCTCAAGTATGTCTTCAAAACATACTTTCCAATCTTCCATTTTGGATCTTAAGATTCAAATTATGATCAAATGGTTAGCAACTACCAAAGCAAAAACTACATTTCTCTTTAATATTTGTATTAAGTCCAAAATACTTCCAAGCCGTATTTGGAGAAAAGCGTACTCCTAAATGGGGGTGAGAGGGAAGCCACTATCATTTTTGAGGAGTCTGGTTAAAATGCTTTACTTCAACATACGCTACTACATTACTGCAAGAATTTCTAAAATCACTCTACTGTCATTTATTCTTCAAGACTTCGTCTACACTTTTAACACTTTCTTCCCCTTTAAATCGAATTACTTTGGTATAGTAACAAAGCTGCTTTCCTTTCAGAAGAAAACTTTCTAAGGATAAAAAATATTTTATAACCAGAGAACAGTTTTCAAAACCCCGAAGCTTTGTTGTATTGTAGATGAAAAGCTGAAATAGCTAGTCTTTACTCTGAATATAAGTCCCATTGAAAGACGTTCGGCTTGAACAAATCCTCCGAAAAAGAGTTCTTAAGTTTTTCTGTCGAACCGTCAAGAAACAAGAACCTAAAAAGAAGGCCCCATGTTGAGGAAGAAAAGGAGGGCTTTCCTGACCTGTCACTGGTACGGGGACTAAGGGAAACGTTGACAGCTTTGAAGCTGTCCCGCGACCAGCGGGAAAGAGGGGCGCGGGAGCTTCCGGGCCCTGGCGCGCCTTTGTCCCGGCCAGCAGGTGCGACGAGGCTGCTGGGCCCGCGCGAGGCCCGCCGCGCCCCGCCCCACGCCGCGCCCGGCCCGACCCGAGCGTCCTTACGGCCGGGGCGGAGCCTCCTCCCGCGCCGAGGCCCACACAAAGGCCTGGCAGCTGGCCGTGAGAGAAGGGCCCCGCCTGGCCCGGGACCGGCCTTACCCAGCCGCTCCGCCGCCTGCAGCCTCGGCCGCGGTCGCCGACCGCTGTGCCCCGCCCCGTAGCCGCCACGGCTGCTACTATTGCTCCTCCGGCCACGGCCACTGCCGTCGCTCCAACACCGCCGCCCTCACCGCCCTCACCCCTCCCTGTACCGCCGCAAAACCAGCCCGCGGCCGCCAAGCGATCCCAACGCTGCACGACACTGCGTGCGCGCGCACGCGGAAGGACGGCGACGCGCTTTACAGCAAGGGCGTGCGTACGTGGTGTTGGTCCGGGGTCTCATTTCGCACGTGGCTCCCGCAGAGTCACCTTGATTCTGCTGTTCTGCCATCGCCGTTTCCAGTGCCAGCATGAAACGGCCAAGTAAGTGGGGTTGTGAGGCGGACGTGGAGAGGCCCTGTTTCAGGTAGTTGCTCTTCGCGTCGGTCTCTGCGCAGACGTAGGAAGCGAACTGTAGGTAGGCCAATGTCTGGAGCCGCGTGGACCTGAGGGCGGGAAGGCCCCGCGTAGATTCGCGGGCTCGCTGTACAGCACAGAGGCCTTCCCCGAGGATGGAGACCATCCGCGCAGATTTTTACGGGCGGCAGCATCTGAACTTGGTTTCGGATCCAGTATTTCATCTTCTACGTTAGCTGAGAACCAACTCTTGAAGGCGTACTTAGTTTTGTGAAATTTTTTTAATGCGGATTTTTACGATTATTAAAGTTAGGAAAGGAAATAGCCTTCCAAAATACGTGTGGGTCAGTTAATAGTAGGAAAAAGGAGGAAGTTTTGCATTATGCAGAACGCGCCTCTAAAAGCTAACAGTGGGCCTGATTAGTGATTCTTTTTTGTTTTTCCCCTTACGGGGGATGGAACTCAGGACCTCGCGCTTGGGAGGCAAGTGCTTATACCGCTGAACTAAATCCCGGACCCCTGATTGATAATTCTCTAGCCAAAGTGGTGGTCGCTTTAGAAATGGGCTTTTGTGTGTAATTTCTGCACTGTGAAAAGAGGTAGGCATTGAGAACTGGCTCCATCCTAAATATCTTGACTCAGTGGGATTTGAAAGTGGCATTTTTTAAAAATTAGGTGCTGTATGTCAGTCTTAACATAAGGTTTGATACGTAATTCCTTTGTTTCTGTATAGAGTTAAAGAAAGCGAGTAAGCGCATGACCTGCCATAAACGTTATAAAATCCAGAAAAAGGTAAATTTTTCGTGGGATACCTTTACCAAACATGCTGCTGATTTGATTTCTGCTCCATCTCCTTTTCACTGGAAGTCTGGATTAATAATTTAGGGACTGGTAGACCATGGGCATCAGGAGTGCACCTGTGGGGAAGTAACCTGTAAATTTTGGTTAACATAATTTTTTTAAGCTGGGTGTGGTGGCATTCGACCATAATCCCAGCACGTGGGAGGCTGAGGCAGTATTGCTGGGGAGTTCAACCCAGCTTGAACATCATAGTGAGACCCTGTGTTTTTTTTAAAAAAAAAAAAAAAAAACAAAACAAAACACTACATGATTTCTTTTGGGAGTGATTATTATTTTTTTTTTTGGTTGTTTTATACCTACACATACATACATGTTTTGTCTGTATGATTCCAGTTAAACTTTCATTTTTCCGGGATTCCGGGATTTTTTTTGGAGACAGGGTCTTACTGTGTAGAATATATAGATTAATGTTGAATTTCTTATGTAGCCCAGGCTGACCTCTGACCTCAGACTTGGAGCAATCCTGAGGGCTGGGATTATAAGCATGCACCACCACACCTGGCCTTTTCTAAGACATTTTACAGACACATCTATATTACAGCCACGTTGATTTCTCACTTAGAATTCTTAAAAGGAATATAGGTTTGTTTTGTTTTCCAAATAGGTTCGAGAGCACCATCGAAAATTGAGAAAGGAGGCCAAAAAACGGGGTCACAAGAAGTCTAGGAAAGACCCAGGAATTCCAAACAGTGCTCCCTTTAAGGAGGCTCTTCTTCGGGAAGCTGAGCTAAGAAAACAGCAGGTAGGTTAATCAAAACGTTGATCTGTGATGTGGTGTGGGTATGTATGGTTTGTGTGTATGTTTGTATATACACTTTTAGTCTAATGGAGAAATTTGTACACTTTTTAAGTAAGGTAACAGCATCAGTCAGTCTCTGGCTAACTTTATCTTCTGGACACAGCTTGAAGAATTAAAACAGCAGCAGAAACTTGATAGGCAGAAGGAACAAGACAAGAAAAGAAAACTTGAAACTAACCCTGCTGATGAGCCATCTAACATTGAATCTAAAGAGGTAGGATTTCATTTCTTTCAAGAAATGGTGCATATCTATAATCTCCACACTCTGGGAGGCTGAGACAAAATTTTCAAGCCCAGGCTGAGCAATTTAGATGAATTTTTTTTTAAAAAAAGACTGAGAATGTATAGCTCATAAAGGACTATGTTCAGACTCCTAAAAAATTAGCCAGGCGTAGTGGCACCCTCCTGTAATCCCAGCACTTGGGAGACTGAGGCAGGAGGATCGATGTGAGTTTGAGACCAACTTGGGCTACAAAGTGAGCTCAAGGCCAGCCTAAATTGCATAGAGAGACCCTGTCTCAAAAAGACCCAAAAAAAATTTCCTTGCCACTAATTAATCAGCTATGGAAAACATGAAGAGAATACAAGTTACAATTACTAGTATGTCAATTTTGTGTTTTCCCCCTTTATATTATCTAGGAATTTGGACAAAGCAAAACTAAGCGACCCAAGCTGACCAAACAGAGTCCGAAGACAGTCCATTATCAGGAACTTAAAAAGGTACCTTAATCTAGGTCAGTGTCTAAAAATGGTAATGAGATTTAAAAATAGTCATTCCCTGACCTGGTATCCCTATAAAGTGGGAATTCTGCAAACTTAACTAATAGGAGGAGGATGATTATGTTCTTGATGATGCTGCTTTCAAGTGCTGTTACCCCAACACACATTTCCTACCTATAATTAGAACCTTACAGAGGAAATTCCATGTGTTAGTTTTGGGTTTGGTTTTTGTTACTTTTAACCACAGGGTCTCACTGTGTAGTGGTAATCCTCCTGCCTCAGCTTCCTGAGGACTGAGAACAGGTATGTGCCACCATACCGCTCTAGACTGTTCTTTCTTTGAAATCCATGTTGATCAAAGTCTGCTAAGCAAGCTTCTGTGTTGCCTTCCTGTGGGAGAAATGATGAGCATTTCGGTATTCTTCATTACACGTGAAGACATGAGATCCAACTCTGAACTCCTTGCTAGGTAAATGTTAGTAGGCTCATATTAAGGGCATTCCTAAAAAAGAAATACTGTTAAAATTGTTCTTGCTTAACAGGTGATTGAGGCTTCAGACATTGTGCTAGAGGTATTGGATGCTAGAGATCCTCTTGGTTGCAGGTGTCCTCAAGTAGAAGAGGTGATTATCAAGAATGGGCATAAAAAGCTGGTACTTGTATTAAATAAATCAGGTGAGCAAAAGGGGGGGTGCCTGTTGTCTTTTGTTCACTAATGAGGTATGAGGAAAACATCTGAATCAGTCTGATCCAACTCTGACCTCAGCAAACCAGAACACATGCAAAGACAGTACTTGTCAAAGACAGTGGGGAGCAGTTGGGAAGTGGTGGGTTGTTTTTTTTTTAACTTTTTTTTCCCCACATTTGTGAAATCCAATTTTTGTTAACTTTTTATCGGTACCGGGGATCGAACTCTCGACCGCCTGCTTGCAAGGCAGGTACTTTATGCCGCTGAGCTAAATCCCCAGTCCCGGAAGTGGTGGTTTCTAAAACTGGTTTTCCTAGCGTTTTTTGTTTTTTGTTTTGCCATTCAAACATTCATTTCTCCCACAGGAAAGTAACAGAAGCTTGCTTAGCAGACTGATGCAATATAGACTTCAAAAAAAGAACAACCTAGAGCTAGATGTGGTATCACATGCCTGTTCTCAGTCCTCGGGAGGCTGAGGCAGGAGGATTACCAGGAGGTTCAAGGCTAGCCTGAACTACATTGTGAGAGCAACCCTGTGGTTAAAAAAAAACCAAAAACCAGGGATAATTCACACAGGGATTTATGTGGCTTAGAAGGTCTATTTGGCCTTCATAAAGAAGTGCTTTACTTAAAAATGTAAGCTTCTGTAACAGTTTCTTATAGGAAGTGATGAATATACCAGATTACTTCCTTTCTACACAACATGAGAGTATTGGTACAGGAACAAGATAAATTAGACTGTGACAGAGTATTTTAAATGAAATAATCACATAGTGGGCCTGAGCAGCAGGAAGAAGAAAACCCAGAACACAGACTTGTGAAGCAGAAAGTAGGAACAGGGTCAAAAATCATTTTTAGGAGTCAGAAAACAAGTGGCTGCAGGCTGTGTTACATTGTAGAGCTTGACTTAATCCTAAAAAGGTAAGCAATGCAGGAAGAATTGAAGTGTACACGTTAAGCTGTATTAAGACAGGCAGCGAGAAAGCTTGCCTTCCCATTTTCCACTTCAGTCCTTTTATAAAACTAGGAAAAGGCAAATAACGTGAAATCCATAATTTTAACAGTTTATAAACTCAACAGGTGGATCAAATTAAAGCACATGTTGTGTTCTTCATTTCTATCAGATCTGATACCAAAGGAGAATTTGGAGAATTGGCTAAATTATTTGACGAAAGAATTGCCAACAGTCGTGTTCAAAGCCTCAACAAATCCGAAGGACAAAGGGAGGATAACCAAGGTACACTTAACTGTTAGTGGTGGGAAGTGTTCTTTCTGATTTTGGATGGTTGAAATATGATGAGTATATGAGAAGTTGAGTTAAAATGAAAAATAAAAAGATCCAACTCTGATTTCATCCAGAGATCGTCTGAAGAAATAAGAGCCCAGTAGCAAAGAGCTGGGCTCTGGTGCTAATTTCTTGAGTTTTACGTGTTGTCAGAAAATTAAACATGTATTTAAAATTTTACCAGGTGAAGGCCAAGAAAAAAGCTTTTCCATTGAAAAATAATGTTTGTTTTGGCAAAGAAGGTCTTCGGAAATTTCTTGGAGGTTTTCAACAGACTTGTGGCAAACCTATACAGGTTGGAGTAATTGGTAAGTTTCAGTTTATCTCATTCTACCTCTTAGCCAAGAATTTTTCCTTCTTAAGAACAAGATTATCATGAAATAAAGGACTTGCTCAAAACTGCGCTTGCCACTTCACATCACACACAAATACAGCTTAAAAACTTAATTGCTGCCAGGTTCAGTTCTTTACTAAGACTGGGCACCACAGGAAGTTGAATTCTAAAAGCCCTTGTTAGCTGGGGGGATAGCTTGGTGGTACAACACTTTCCCGACATGTTTGAGGCCCTGGGTTCAATCCCCAGCACCACATCATTTCATCACCTGGGTAAGACATGAAGCTAAGACAGGTCAGTATTGAACTAAAACACTACAGTCCAACTCTGATGTCACTCTAAACATCAGGCAGACTTAAAATTGGGCAGTGAAAATTTTGTAATTGCCAATATATTAAATGTCTTATATGTGTGGATTTCCCCCTTTTTGTAGGTTTCCCAAATGTGGGGAAAAGCAGCATCATTAATAGCTTAAAACAAGAACGAATATGCAATGTTGGTATATCCATGGGGCTTACAAGGTAAAACTTTTATTACAGATGAGTATTTTCATCATCTTAAACCAATTCCTTGTTCTTTATTTAAACCTGTCAGTGAAAGGAAAAGGGTCAGGCCTACAGTGGGTAGGGTAGGCTTCGAGGAAAATCTGAGCTGTCCAGTTCAGTTTAAAAGACAAATGAATTAGCTTGATTAAAAAGGAAAACTGCCTCAGACCAAGTGTTTTTTCTAAGCCTTGAGAAGAGTATAAGAGCTTTCCAGGTAAAATACTATTATGTTAGAAAAAATAGCTATTTGTTAGGTAGATGTAGACACTATAATGTAGTTCTTTTTAAAGGGGTGGATATTGTTAGGTTTTAGATACCTATGAAGCAAATGATGACAAACTGGATCTGACTCACTGTGCTGAGTGTTTTCAATCCAACCCTGAGCTTCATGTTCTATGTCTTCCAGATAAACCGGTACCCAAGTAATTGCATCTCTTTTATTTTAGGAGTATGCAGGCTGTTCCCTTGGACAAACAGATCACAATCATAGATAGTCCAAGTTTCATTGTGTCACCACTTAACTCCTCCGCAGCCCTTGCTCTTAGGAGTCCAGCAAGTATTGAAGTAGTAAAGCCACTGGAAGCTGCCAGTGCCATCCTGTCTCAGGCTGATGCTAGACAGGTAAAAGTGCTCCCCCTTTTTTTATTTAGAAGATTTTGGTGATTTTTTTAAAAACTACCCTATTTAGGTAAATGATAATTCTTGTTTTGCCTTTTTTTTTTTTTTTTTTTTTTTTTTTAAAGGTAGTTCTAAAATACAATGTCCCAGGCTATGAGAATGCTCTGGAATTTTTTACTAATCTTGCTCAAAGAAGAGGTCTACACCAGAAAGGTGGAAGCCCAGATACTGAACGTGCTGCCAAACTGCTGTGGTCTGAGTGGACAGGGTAAGGCTTATTAATAAAGGAACTGGTTTGTTGGTTTATTTTTGTTTTTGGTACCAGGGATTGAACTCACAACTGACTCATGCTTGCCAGACAGGCGCTTATGCCGCTGAGCTAAATCCTCGGCCCAAAGGAACTGGTTTTTAACAGATATTTTTGTTTTAAAACCAGTGCTTCGTTGAGTTACTATTGCCAGCCCCCTACTTCTTGGACCCTTTCTCCGCATTTTAATGAAAGTATTGTGGCAGACATGAAAAAGGGCTTTAATCTGGAGGAACTGGAACAGAACAATACACACAACATACAAGGTGTGAGAGACTTGTGTTTCACTGCTATTTTCCTCTGTTGACATGCTGATAGTGGTCTCATCAGTTTTTGGTGGGGGCTGTTCCTTTCCTAGCCATCCAGAGCCCTTGTTCAGCCAATAGCGTACTTTTTTATTCTTCGGGTCTGACAAATGGAATAATGGAGGAGAAAGACATACCTGAATTGCCCGGACAGAAGAGAGAAAGAAAACAAGAGGAACGAAAGGATGTGAAAGATACGGTTAGTGACCAGTAAAGTGTTGATTGTGAAGTTGTTAATGTAAAGTGTGTTTTCTGTGAGTTAAAGCTGAAGTGCTTTTCCACCATTGGTACAATAAATGGGAAGGGGTTAAATAGAACAAAGTATTATGCAGTTGATTGAAAGAAGCTCTCCATACTAAGTATTTTTTTACACATCCTGTTAGGTGTATTTTCAAAAAATAACTGGATTAAAATGCAGGCAAGGATTACTAATTGTGCCAGTTCTCTGTCCCATAGGAAAAGATCTCAGACATGTCACCTGTAGAAGAGACAGGAGAGGAGGCACTACCAGAGGAACCTATCATAGCAGGTGAATTTGGGGCAAAGGACTTCACAAAGCAGCTTGCTATAGAATTTTGTGTGTGTGTGTGTGTGTGTGGTGTTTAAATCTTCACTTTCTCTCCCAATATAGGTGACCCGTCTATAAGACCTTGTATTATCTTGGATGAAAAGACTAAAGAGGATGATGCTTACGACTTCAGCAGAGATTATGTGTAACAGAACTCATCATTTTATAAGGATTTTCTTGACATTTCAGGCAAATTGCTAACCAGTTGTATATGTATAATGTGCTGATTTTGGTGTGGCATAACTTGTAAAAATTTTGTGAATATGTATCTTGTACACATTAAAGTGATTAAACAATTTACAAACTGTCCATATTTTATTGAAAAAACTGACTTAGTACAGTGAGGGGACAGTAGTAGTTACCTGGAAGCAAAGAAATCTAAAAATGTATGTTTTACATATACATCAGGCCACAGCTTCCAAAATTAAAATCCAGTAGCAGTTTGAACTGGCTGTACTAGTTATACCAGTCATACCAGTCCATCTGGTCGGTTCACACCATAGTAAGCAAACACTTAGTAAGGCAGATGGAGACATTCAAAGTCCCATCTTGAAAGCTGACTACCAGATTGGACAAACTCAACTTTATCCAGATGAAACAATCTTTTTTCACTTCAGTTGCTACAGATAAGCATTGACGCCCATCAATTGTTAATTCTACTTGTGCGGTCTTCCAAGATTTCCTGAGAAATAATTAACTGTTTTACTTTATGTTCGAGAGCTCCGTATGTCTTCGGATTAGGCTGAATTTGCCTGTTGGATCTGGGATATACCATTTTTCCCAAATATCAGTGTATGATGCAGTTCTTCCCCATGGCTTAAAATGTCCATTCCAGTGGAGTAACTTGGCAGCCTTTACAAACTGTGGTGAATATCTTTTTCCAGCACTGGAACCTTAAAATTGAGAAAGCCAAATGATTATGACAGACAAAAGCAATGCCATACCAGACTATAGAATAGTTAAGGGAAATGGGCTATATTGGAGCTTTCAGTAATGAGGTGGTTTTGGGTTTTTTTTTTTTTTTTGGTACCTGGGATCAAACTCATGACCACATGCTTGCAAGACAGGCGCTTATGCCACTGAGCTAAATCCCCAGCCCCAGAACTTTCAGTAATAACCCATTGTGGTACAAGGTTTGGCACTATTGGCTTTGCCATCAGTTATTTCTACTTACCAAGGTGGCGAACATTCCACATAGGGTCGATGTTAGAGTGCTGCTGATAGAATACAATAAGCAAAGGAGGTGTAGTGATGCTGCCAGCCAGTGTTCTGCTATATAAGCCTTCTCTTGGGAAAGATGACAAATATTAGTGACAGTAGTGACCAACTCCTTTCATTAAGATTCCTTGGGGTTGAAATAGCTGGGCCAGTTATATACTTACTCTACATTAAGTTTCATCCATTTCTCCAGCTGGTTAGTTATATTCTGTCGTTTCCATTCTGTCAGATTTGCAACAAAAACTCCAGGATTAAAGGAACAGGTGCTAGCTTTCATGGAAAGCTTACGAATTCTTTCCTTTTTGTAGTCAAGGTAGCCAATGTAATTGTACTAAAAAACATGGGGTAAATGTTTCAGTTTTGAAAAAGAGTATATAACCTGTGAAAAATTAGCTAGTTGAGTCAGGTGTGATAGCACATGCCAGTTAATCCTGGCACGTGGGCTGGGGCAGGAATTTTGAATTAAAGAGACCCTCTCAACAGCCTTGAGGGTGCAGCTCCATGTAAAGCCCGGGTTTTAATCTTCAGTACTCAAAAGGGGTGGGAGTTACTATGGTCAGCAACAAAAGGTTACAAAAAGATTTCAAGTAAGTTGGGACCTAGCAGACATTTAAGGTGAATTGGGTTAATTCCATGAATGTACAGAAAAGGCACCGTGAGTTTAGTTTTGTTTTTGTGTTTTTGAGACAGGTCTCACTAGTTGAAGCTGGTCTTGAACTCACTATTCAGCCCAAGCTGGCCTGGAACTTGTATCCTCCCATCTTAGCGTCCCAAGTGCTAGGATTACAGGTGTGTCACCACACCTAGTTTGAGTTTTGACATGAAATATGAAGGGAATAAGATGCAGCAAAAAGAACTCACTAAATTTGCCACCTCTTCCTTTTAAACTATTTTACAGGGTGCAGGGTATCTAGTGAGTAGTTTTACCTGATTCCCTGCTCCACGAATGACAACTTTAGTAGAGGCTGAGTCGCAGTCTTCTGAAAACGCAGCTGCATGTCCTGGCTTCAGAGGTGTATGGTACAGGGCAAGAATATCACCTGAAATGGATATGGTGAGGTGGAGGACCAGGTGATGATGACTGCAACATTGGTTGCTTGGAGGCTGCCTGTGCCTCCCCATTGTTTCTCTATAAGGTAACCTTTACAGGAGACCATGAATAAGACACCCATAGCCTGCAATCTAGATACTGACATTATTACCTTGCACAATAACATCATCATCCATGTATATGGCCTTCTCTGCATTGGGAACCAGAATTGGCAAATAGAACCTTGCAAAGGTTAACTGGAAAAGAAGCAATGGTATAAGATATAGTGTCTATCCTTTTATTTGTATAAAAATTAATAGACGTTCTTGGGACCTTTGCAGAAAATATCCAAAGGACTCTTGGAACCACCTAGGCTTGGTCCCCAAGGAACTATGCACTGTACCCACATTAGCTTGGTATTTTAATCATTTCCTAATATCCACAAGTATCAGCAAGGATGCATGGAACTCACTGGTTTCATGGACTCCACCTGGTCAGGATCCTCCTTTACTTTCCCTTCCAAAAGTTTAGTGTCAAAATTCAGAATTTTGTACCTGATGTTTTTCAGTGGGCCACTACTGAGCCATGACCTAATGAAGAAAACACACCACAGTTCAGTTTTAAATATTCGTGTTTTCAAGCCATAGCCTTATCTTTGTGCTCTTCCTAGTATGAGCATAATTTAATGTAAGATACCCTAAGAACCAAATAGATATTTTTGAGCTTTATTCCCAATTTGAGCATATTCCCAATGCCTTTATCTCTTGAGACTCGATTGCCTCATGTGATGTGAGGGTATTCTTACTAATGTCCCTCCATGTACCAAAATTCTATAATTAACTTCTATCACTAAAACACACACACACACACACACACACCCGTTAGGACATCCCATCACCACATGGACCATTTCTAATACACTAGTGAAAAAAATAAGTAAAAAGTACAATCAAAGAACTATTAACAATTCACTGATTAAATGAAAATTGACTATTATTAAGTATAACCCACCAACATCTGAGGCACTGTCCAAGTGTTTCTTGAAGTACATGATTTCTCTAGTCCATTCCAAATCAGAATTTTGTGTACACTTAAAATACAGCCTTGTTTGTTTTCTTGGTTTTTGAGGTAGGGTCTCACTATGTAGTTAGTTCAGGCTGGCCTTAAATTCACTATGTAGCCCAAGTTGGCCTCAAACTTGAGGCAATCCTCTTGCCTTAGCCTCTGGAGTTCTGGGATTACAGGAACTTGCCACCGCACATGGCAACTATAGTTATACTCTAATTTAGTATTTGTTTTTATATCTTGTTGGGTCCTAAGTCTGAATCAGAGAAAGCCACAAGTACAGAAATATTATACAACTTTGACAAATATGAATTTCTTAGTCTAGCTGTTTCTTGGAATGAACTTTGTCTCATTTTCATGGATAAACTCCCATAAGGCTGAGTTTTTATTATAGCAATTAACATATTCCCAATGGCTTGAACCACCAGGTGGCTTGTACCATCGGTGGTACAAATGAGTTGAATCACTTTTATTGGCCTTTTTACTAATAAAATTAGTCAGCTGCTTGATTAGACAGTCATGCATGGTTCAAGCCACTCTGCAGCAAGACACACTAATTATAGTCCCATCATGAACATGTTAAAACAGTACCATTCACTAAGCAACTACTCTGCTAAGTGGTATACATATTCCTTATATACTGCATTTGACATTCCCTAAATTGAATACTGTTTCTTGACTCAACACTCCCATAAATACAGATGAGGGAATGGCCTCCAAGTTTCTCCAAATACCGTGAGCTAGGATTTAGATCGCAGTCTCTCCTCGATTCATCTCACTATCTTGCCACTATGCACTTCCCACTCTAGACCAGAACTAAAGTCTGTCTACAAGATAAGGAATTTGTGATTTTTAAGTCAACATTAAGAAAGCCTTATTATCAAAAAGTTTCAGTATTATTACCGAAGCAGTAACTGAGGAGTTAACAGTATATACAGCACAAGATCATATCATTTCTGCTGTCGTGGGACATGCTTACAATACATTCATCATCTATGCTGCTTCTATGTGGTATAATCTCAATAGATGTATTATATATATATATATATTACATAGGTAAGCAAATCTCACCGAAGATGGTCTGCTGTATTATTAAGTGTGACAATGTAGAAAATCACACTGGAGCGCGTGTTGTGCTGAATGCTGTTTATGGCTGCAATAGCCCCCCCAAGCCTGTCTTCAGATGAAGCAATAACCACAGGAATCTCTTCTTGTTTCCCATCTACTGCATGACTGGGAGCATCTGGGACAAAGTCTATAGGCTCAAGTCCCAGAAATCCTGAATCTGAAAGGAATACACACAAAGAAGGCACTGTAATATAAATACAAGTGCAACAGTTTCCATTTTTGATCAGAACCTAAGAATGGGAGAGCTGATATGAGGATTTATGGTAGTGACTTACCTTATGCTTTCCCATTAAACTTTAAAACACACAGGCCCAAAACTGTTTTCCTCTATGTAACCAAGCTTTTAAAAAAGAAGTGTTTGATAAAACAGGCTGAAAACACTCTGATACACTCTTAGTAAAAAAGTAACCTTTTCAGAGTACATTGTGGCAATTTGTATCAAGAGCCTTGAACAGGTACATGGCCTTTCAACCAATCATTTTCCCTTGCCACATCTGCTAAGAACAAAATCCAAAATGTAATCAAGTTATAATTTTAGGTTAGTATAGTATGTGTTTAAATGCACAAGGCCTAGTTTTAATCTCTGACACTGCCAAAAAGAAAAAAGTCACATTCCCAGGCTTATGTTCAGAATTTGAATAGAAATCTCTGGATCAGAATGTAAGACTAAAATAAAAAAAGACAACAGAGTGCATGGTACTTAGCAACAGCAAGTATTATTCTGTGTGTGCATGTATGCATGAGCACACGTGCATGTGTGTGTGTTTTCCTTCAGTAGTAGAGACTGAACTCAAGGCCTTCAGAGTGAGCTATATCCCCAGCCCTTTTATATTCTGACATAGGATCTTACTAAATTGCTAAAT